ATTTTTCTCTCACGTGTGTGTGTTTGGGCAATGCATATGTAGGCAATATGTTTCAATTTGAAATGAATTCGTCTGAGTGGAGGCAAAATGTTTCTTTTTTTTCCGTCCTTTGTAATGTGTCCTTAGCTCTGTATTTCTAGGGGATAATGGTGGATGGAAATGGCAAGAGACATTCATTAATCAGGCTTTGAAGGCAGAATTGAAAGCCTTAAAAAGGTTGCCATCTTTGATGATTTCCTACCCTTTTGGGTTTTGGATGAACCTGGACAAGTTATGGTTGGCGCCTTTCACGAATGTGAATTACTCAGAGCTTTCATCATCAGAGCTTTCATCATCAGAGCTTCTTTGATTAAGTCAACATCTGCATCAATTTGAATTGCTCAAAGCTCTTCTTATCAGAGCATTGTTCTCTTCGATGGCTCTGAATTCCAATTCGAATTGTTCAAAGCTTTCCTTATCAGAGCGTCTTCAATTTAGCCACCATCTTCATTGGCTCTTTCTTTCGACCAGCTCCCAAGCATTGTTCTTCGATTTGTCTTGAATTCCAATTTGAATGGCTCCAGGCATCATCATTGTGGCTTCTTCGATTAAGCCACTATCTGTCTTAGTTGCTTGATCTGAAACTAATCAATTAGCCCAATCAAACACTTCCTTCTGGCATGTCGAAGCTTCTTTTGTTATTTCCTTCGAATGTAATTATGCAGGAGGCTTGGGCTTGGCAGCATGTAGGACTTTGGCCAGCAAGCATCGTGAACCAGACTTATCAAAAGACGAAACAAAACTCATTTCCAACAATTATGTATCCTTCGAATGGACCAATTGTATGTCCTTCGAAGGCACCATTTGTGTGTCCTTCAAATGGAACAATTGTATGTTCTTCGAAGGCACCACTTGTATGTTTCTTCGAATGGACCACATGCACCACTTGTGCATTCTTCGAATGGGCCAAATATATGTCCTTTGAAGGAACCACTTGTGATTTCCTTCGAATAACCCACATGCACCCCTTGTGCGTTCTTCGAATGGGCCACCAATGTGTGTTCATAATGTAGAAACTGTGTGTTGAAGGGTTCAGAGGTGGAATCGAAGCAAGCCATTTCAAAGGGAGCCATTTCCCAGTCGAAGCTAGCAGTAAGGAAGGCAATTCCTTGTAGATGCTAGCATGAGAGAGGCCATTGCTTTGTGGATCAAAGCAGGCACAAAGGAGGTCATTGCCTAGTGAATCGAATCAGGCACGAAGGAAGTATTTGCCTAGTGAATCAAAGGCAAGCACAGGGGAAGTCTTTGCCTTGTGAATCGAAAGCAGGCTTGAAGGATGTATTTGCCTAGTGAATCAAAGGAAAGTTGGGAGGAATTATTTTCTTTGTGGATCGAAAGCAAGTCCAGAGGAAGTCTTTTCCTTGTGGATCGAAAGCAAGTCCAGAGGAATTCTTTTTCTTGTGGATCGAAAGCAAGTTGAAGGAGGCCAAAGTCCAATCGAAGCTTGGAAAATTGAAGCAAGCTTGCTTTTTCTTCGATTTGATGCCCGAAGGCCAAATGTGATCCATGGAAACTATATGGGGCATCAAAAATCCAATTGTATTTGTGCAAACTTGGACTTTTGAAAATCCTTGTGAGAAATTTTTTTGAGAAAAGTGTGGGTAAATTTTGGGGTACAACACACTGGTATATCTGGGTCCTTCCAATCTACCAGATTAACAAGAGTAGGGTTTCCAAGTGGATGTTTGATAAGTTGTTGCCTTCTTAGTACCCTGAGAGTTCTTTTTGGTTCAGGATATCCACTTTAAATTGGGCGTAACGATCTGTGTATACAATAGCTAAAACATGTCGTGACACCAGATTACAACAAACGTTAAATGCTCAAATACTTAAAAACAAACAAATAATAGTGAATAATACAAAATCATAAATGTAATAAAACACTCCCCGACAACATCGCCAAAAACTTGTTGCTTGATAAATATAGGTGTCACATGCAAGTATACGTGTATGTTTGATTGCAGTAAGGGATAAAATTAAGAGTGTCGAACCCACAGGGAGTGATGTAGTTACTTATGTTGATTTTGCAAATAACTATATTTGAGTTTTAAGCATGAGCAGAGAGAAAAATAATATGTGATGTGTGAGCGTTCGGTTTTCACTTAAAACAAATCTGAACACGGTGGAGAGAGAGAGAGAGAGAGAGAGAGAGAGAGAGAGAGAGAGAGAGAGAGTGGAAACATATCAAGAGTGAATGAGTTGAGCCATGATCCATTAATATTTTATAAGTAAATATGTGTGAAGATGTGCAGTGTCGTGACATGTGAGATCAAAATGATCTTTTGGTGTATCTCTACAACATCAAAAAGTATGCAAATAAAGGGCAAGAGAACAAATCTTTAAGCCTCACTTATAACCCTAATATGTGTTTGTTTGTATTCTGAAATCCTCAATAGTTGCAGATCATTATCTCTAAGAAAGCTAGGTGAGTGGATATCTTTATCCTATTCGTTCAACCATTTTATTAAGAAAACCACTTGTTGTTAGATCTCTCACAACGACAAGTTGTCATCTACTCCTAAGTTGATCAGACAAAGAAATAGACTTATAATAGGTTAACATATAATAAAAAAGTCACTTACCCACACACCATATAACATAAAAACAACTTAATATTAACTTCACATTGCTCAACCACAAAAGTTTTAACTCATAATGAAATGAGTACAAACTACAAGCATGGTTCTCAGAAGGAACATCCTTAAACAAACAATGAAAAAGAGATATAAACCTAAGAGAGACTTGAGAACTTCTTGAGACAGATAATCTTTAAGAGGTGACTCCAGTCGCCCTAGAGCTCAGTAGTAGATACAAGATTTGATGAGAAGAAGAAATTTTCTACTCTCCATTTCCCTTACACTTAGTATCTTCTGTATTTTCTCTTAGAATTGATGAACTTTTTCTCAATATCATCAAGGTCCTATTTATTTATTTGAGTTAGGGTTTGTGTTGTATTGGATCATGGGTCTAAAATGAGGAAATCACATCAAGCCCAAGTAGAAATAAGCGCCAAACCATCAATTCTTCTGCTCGGCTAACAAGAAATCAGGTACAAGGAGACAATGGTGGGACACATGGTGTTGTCTGACAGACTGTGGTGGCAGAGGTGCAGGCGGCACTGCACAGTCTACATAGTACACAGTTGTACCTTATTCTGTCCACTAGTGCCTAGGAACCTTATCCTTTGTATTCAAATAATTTTCCCTCTTTTGCTCAGCAGAGATTCTCTCCATTTCCATCTACCTTTTACGCTTTCCTTGAAGCCAACTACACTCATTCTTGTTTTCCTTTTTCCTCTAAGCTCATCTTCTTTCTTCAGCTTGTGCTTCACGCGGTAGACTATTGCAGTCATATGCTTCAGCTCAACAATGCTAGCCTTCACACAAAAACACATTGAAACAACAAAAAAGAGCACCTATTGTGCTCCAAGCTAAACTTGCAAAAATAACTAATAATGCAATAAATTAACAATTTAAAAAGAAAATTAAAACCTAATAAAAACAAAGATTAAGGTATGTATTAACTCACAAAATGTGAGTTAACAACCATTAAAGCACGTGCTATTAGGATACACCTTAGGATAAGGTTGTGTGTGAGTTTGATGTCTCAGATAGAGTTCAAGACAATTGTGTCACTCTTTTTGAATAAGAATCCTACTTGCTATGTAAAGGTTCAAGCCGTTGACACATTTGTTTATGCACAATCTTAGAAACGTTTGACGTTACTTTTGAAACCTTTTTTGAATTCAAGTGGGGGATTGTTGGAACATTATGTCAATATTCCAATATAAGGAATGAATTTGAAAAAGTTTGTTAAATTCCACATTGTGTGTTAGTTGAAAAAACTCCTTAGTCCCACATTTCTTAGCTGAGATATTTTAGCTAGCTCACTTTATTGTAAAGAAATTCCTTGTTCCATTCCAAAATACACCAAAAACTCCTTTTATTGAGTTTTTTCTTCCCCACTCTCATAACTCTGCATCTTTCAAATTGTCGAAGCGACAACTTCTCCTCTTTTCTTTCTTCTAGTTGAATTTGTTGAGTACTTTTTTAAATTCTCTTTAGAGAACTATGTTAATTTCTCCTCGTTTGAGTTGAGAAATTAGAAGTATTAATTTTTGGTTTGATTTTGGAAAATTATTTGAATTTCTCTTGTTTTAGAAATTATTTTGATTGGTTAAATGACCATTATTGAATTCTCTTTGAAGAATTATTGAAATTTCTCTTAGTTTGAGAAATCTTTGTATCATCAGATGATGTATTTTTAGACCGATTATTTACCATGCAAGTAATAATCGTACAGTATAGAATTGTGATGTCTTATTCTGAAGGCGTCGCGGTAGTTAGATTGCTTTGCATATTTTTGGACAATACTGCAAAACATCTTGAAGAGAGCGAACAGTTCCGCGACTCATTCCGATAACTTCTTCGGTGGTTATTTTCAAAAATCCAAAATCATCAATATAGTCTTTAGAATGAGAGAATTTTTCGATATAATATAATTTTAGAGGACAGTTCAAATTCTTTTATAGATTTTTAGGATCATAATCTGTCATGTACTAACTATAGATATTATGCATAATCAGATATTGCAGCATGAAAAGCAAACAACCATAATAAAATCTATACTTTGTACTCATTACTAACTTATGATGTATTTACTTTACAATGTTCTGGTTTACAATATGATTCTTGATAATATGTAAGGAAATAATGATATTCATTTGGCTCCAATACTCCTCTTCCCATTACAACTATGGTTTGTACTCAAAACATCCCAATCACATAAAAAATCGGCAGGATTTACAATGGCATTATGCTGATTCTGATAGAAGAATTGTTGAAACCACCTTAAAACCAAAAAAAAAAACAGACAATTATTAGTTAGCAATATGGTTTTAGATTCATAGGCAAATATATGTGTAATGTTATATGTAGCACTTACTTGGACTTCACTTTGCTTTAAGTGTGTTTGGTAGCTTTCCCATCAACCTTATTATTTTGGAAATCAGAAGAACTGGTTTAACAGAAACCATTTGTCAAGTCCATGAGAAAAGCAATAGAATGAATAAAAAAGAAGCAATGCAATGTATTTTTTTTGGCCTTAAAAAATGTCAAAACCTTACATCTCATGCAGTTTTGGAAGTTTCTTAATGGATGGATGAAGTGGTCCTTCAAAGTTGTTATTCTCCAAATGCCTTTATTGAACAATGATTCAAGAAAAAAAGAGAGTAAGAGTTCAGGTAACTATATAAAATTAAGAAATCTATCAAATAAAAAACAATGAAAGATGAGGATCCATTTAGTGAGTTACATACAAAGTTTCTAACTCTTGCAATTCACTCAAATCAGGGATAGTGCCCGAGAATTTGTTCCCCGCAAGCAAACTGTAATCGAATTTATAGTTAAAGAAACAATAAATGGAATTATTTGGGATATTTGAAAAAAAATAGTATAGATTCCATACAGGTGAGAAAGAGCAGTTAAATTGCCAATATTCGGAGGAAGAGTCCCAATCAGGCCAGCGTTAGTTAAATTCCTTGACACACAAGAAACCAAAATATATGTGAATGAAATGAGTCAAATAAAACTTACTTTTTTAGTATATAGATTAAGAATATAACTAGATCATTTGCATCGACTGACTGTATAGTATAGTTGCTAGAGAGGATCTATTATACACGGGAACTTACAATGAGGTGATTCGTGCAACAAATTGATCTGAGCATGTAACTCCAGTCCATGAATTCCCTTTAGGGAGGCAAGGATCACCGTTCCAATCGCGAGGTGGAGCTTGAATGCTTTTAGCCAAATCTTCCATTGCAATTACTATATATAGACAATCATTATAGTTAAATTATTCAAATTGTAGTATAATGAAAAAAATCACAAAATAGTGCATTTGAGATTAGTATAAGTTAATTACTGTCTCTAGTTTGAGTTCGCCCGCCGAGGGGAAGAACCTGATAAACTTCTCCAGCATTGAGAATAGGTGCATAAGGTATTCCACCGGTAGGTGTCACAGTAATTTGGGTCTGTCCGGAAAGTGGCCATTGTGCAGCATAAACTGTGACACCCTTATTTGTGGCATTAAGATTTGAGTAAAAAGCGTGACCGTTAATAGAAACATCAAAGGTTCTCCAGCTAGAAGGGCTTGATTTTCGGTCGTCTTGAAAATATAGGGAAATGTAGTAGTAAGAACTTGGAAGGGACACCGGTGGCCATTCAAGTTTAAGTGTTTTTTCTTCGCTAGTGGTTATTCCTGACATGAATACTTTAGCTGGAGGGAGGTTCCAGAAGTCCGTAGATGTTACATTTGTTTGGCTTGCCACAACTGGAATCTCGTCCTTATTAAATGGTTGCCACATCCGGTTAAATTTGTCATCTGGAAAACTAAGTTCACATACATAAAACTCAATCATCAGAATTCGTATAATGTCTATCTAATTCCACGTTTCTATAACTTGAATACAAACACGAGAGATCTTAGACAACAACAATCAAGTTTTATCCCACTGAGTGGCCAGGCGGCCCTACATTTTAGACACTAAGTAAAATAAAATAAACCATAAAGAACATGTTTATGTTTATGTACCTAATGATATCTTCACTTCCAAATGAATGTCTGGAAACAGTTACAAGAGCATACTTGTGAAAATCAGTAGGATTATACAAAGAATTATCCAAACTCTTAACCTCCAAGGCAGAGATAAATGGACTTGAGCTACCAGTATGTTTATTCCTAGCCAAACACACACTCAACCTCTTCCCGTGAGACGCCTCAATCACAACCTCATAATACGAACTAAGACCTTTCGCGTAGTCTTCTGTCGTATTAACAATGCTCCATCTCGTCCCTTCAACGATTTGATCGAACACGGGTGGCTGTTTCCCTCCATCGAATTCTCCATAATAATATACCGTCTTGACAAGGTATTTGTTTCCTTTGATAACCGGAAATGAATAGCAATATTTTTTAGATAACGTGTTGGTGAAGTAACGCAACGTGGACAGTGTTGGCAACAAGTCTGGTTTGTTGATTGTGGCGACGGTTCCAACCTTTATGTAGCTTCCATCAGGAATATATTTTAGACTGTCTACCGTTACCTCATTTATGCCCCCACAGTTTATAAAATAACCTGCATATTCATGCATGCATGCAGAAACATTGAAAAAATGAAAAGTATATTAAAACAAAAGTGGCTTGCTTGATGAACACGTTAATAATGTATGAAGAAGATGAATGATTGAAAAATGTGTATATATTACCTAGAGGGTTGGAAAGGGCAGGGTGGAGAAGGAGAGGGACAGTGACAAGCCAGAGGATGAAGACGGAGGGGCTCATATTATCATAAGCCACTGCCCCACCTGAAGGCATGCGATTTGGTGGGTTTGTTGAAAAGAGAGGAGAAAGAGAAAGAGATGATGATTGTGATGGGCATTGCCTGGTCCTAGATTCAGAAGGGAGGACACGTCCAAGGCTGTCCTGAAAGATAGAAATTTAATAGCATGGTTTGACTTGGTCATAATGCATGTTTACTGTATAATTATCCATTGAGCAATCTTGGGATTGGTTATTGTTATTAATTAGATTGTAACTTGCGTCTTTGGTGATGACGCGTGTCATCCTATTTTCTATATATATATATATATATATATATATATATATATATATATATATATATATATATATATATATAAAAAAGAAAGAGAATGATATTCTGACCGTGAAAAAAAAGGAAGTGTAAAAGCTCGTCAAATTGCATTTGAGTGATCTAAGTGTTATAAAATCACACGATATCTTTTTATAAAATTATACGGTTAAATAAGACACACACTTAAATAAGTTTTTAAAATTTATTTTTCTCAAAGAAAAATTCTTAAAATGGTTTGGAGTCGTTCTAGTTGAATAAGAAACTATATGAATGTTTTTGGACAAAATTTATGCTATCCAATCGATTAACACTTATACCTAATTGATTGACTCATTAAATTTGGTCTCAAAATTTTCCCTTTTTGTGTCACCTTCTAGCTTATAAATATAGGTAATTTCTTTCACATTTTCACATTCAAAATCGTGAGTCTTCATCACTCACTCCTCAGTCCCTATCTCTCTAAAAATATTTTATTTACTCTGTCTCACTTGAATTTAGTTGTAGCTCTTTTGTTTAGTGAGTTTTTGTTGTAATTCTAGAAAGAGTAGTATTGTAAATTCACTGAGAAATATTTCTTTTTTGTTGGAACAAAATTGGTTTATACCATTTTGTTCTTGCCTTTTCCTTGCAGCGAAACAGACACAAAGAAAATTGAAAATTCCTAACAAACCCACCTAATTATTCTGTCATGATGTTGTAGTAGCTAGTGAAGAAAGAGACCCGTGCATATGTAAGGTAGCTAGATAGATCTAACGTAGGGACCGCCTTTGATTCTTTGAAGTTGGACCATGTGTTCATAACTGGTGATCTTATTATTTGACCATTGTGTGCCTTTTAGATGACAGAGAAATCATATGAACTATCGTTGAAAAGAAGTCCCTACTGGAACCAACGCCCAATTTATATAAACAACTTAGTTAATCACTTCAAATATGAGTGCTTATTGAATAAGCTGTTTCTACAACAAAGGATAAAATAAAGTCAAACTATTTCAGTTTACCGATAAGTATTTACACCGGTAGAAAAATTCAAATAAGTTAGTCGAAGCAAACAGTCAGATAACCTAGAGATTTTTCCTTTTTATTAAGTTTAGATACTTTTTTTCACCATCCACTTAAGTGGAATCCTCACTGTTTTCTTTTGTGGAATAACAATGTCACATTATGCATGGCATAATGTGACTGAAATTTCAAGAACCACAACCAGGTATTTGGTTAGCCCATTTAGAATTTAGTAGTTTCCTGACTCAAGGTCTTAGTTTTTTTATTTTGGTTTTCCTTTTTCTGGCATGTGTTTGCAACAATGCCGTTTATTGCAAAAACCTTCATATTTCTTTATGTCGGTATGAATGCCCTTGATATAGTTTGAAGAATATAGTTGAGGCTGTTGCTATCTCCAAGATTATTGGAAACCTTGAAGAAGGAAAGTGTCCCTTTCTCCTTATATAATGTAAATTTAGTGCGGCATTTTGTTCTCAAATAAGAATGCTTCTTTTTTACTGTTTTTTTTTTTGTTACAGAATTTTTGAAGACAAGGAAGAAAGTTAGCATAGGAATCATATAGAAATCCAATAAAAAATAAAGCTAAGCAATTCTTTTTCGGATCCAGACTTTTCTGTTAGTGTTTGTTCAGTTGATGGCTTTCAAGGTGGCGAAGAAGATATAATAATAATATCCACAGTGAGATCTAATGGCGATGCAAAAGTGGGTTTTCTTTCCAATAGGCAAACGGAAAACGTGGCATTGACTCGGGCTAGAACCTGTATGGAAAGAACTAGAACCTCTCCAATAGCCTCTTCTCATGCAAGGTGTCTTTCTATATTTCAATTTTTTTGGATTGTTGAGTAGAATCACTTTTGAATAGCAATTTTTTTGAATTGTTGAGTAGAATCACTTTTGAATTGCCTTCATTATACACACATACTCTATCTCTTTGGTGTCTTATAGTTTTCCAAATTAGTTACAATTCATATTACGCTGAATTGGATGCAACTCCTGGATGCACCTTGTTCTTACCAATACTACTAGAACTACAATTTGCCTGCACCTTTCTGTTTTGATCATTACTATTCATGACCTCGCCTCTTCTTACTCTTTCCTCTTCCAATTTTTTCATCTTTTCTTTCTGCCTCTTCTGCATAACAAAAACTTCAGCTGAACGTGCACCAATTGAAGACATTTTATAATTTTTATATATTTGGCTATTACTACCTCCGTCCCTAAATATAAGACTCCGTTGAATAAATAGTGAGAATTAAGAAAATTTGTTTCAGTAATAAATTTATTGGAGTTATTGGACATATGTCGGGTTGTGAATGGAATGTGGCAAACAAAGGGTGAATGGGGCAACATTGATAAGGATGAAGCTGTTGATTCTATGCTTAAATATGCTCTGATGCTGGATTCACCACTTTTGACATGGCTGATATATGTATTCCGTGCAACTTTGTTTGTTGCTCCTAGTTTCTCTTAAACTGTTTGTATTAATTACTGCATAAAAAGTTATAACTTGTGTATATTTGTTTTGTAAATGGGCCAGCTGAAGATCTATACGGGATGTTCATCAATCGAGTTCGTCACGAGTGTCTACCGCAACTTGTTCATTCATAAAGGGTGTAAATTATATCTAAAAATGGTGTAAATTATATTAAAAAGGGTGTAAAATAGGGTGTAACTAAGAACGTATTTATACCTGATTTTTATTAAAATTTGGTGTAACTAAATACGTATTTACACCCGATTTTTATTAAAATAGGGTGTAATTAAGAACGTATTTATACTCGATTTTTATTAAAATAAGGTGTAACGTAGAATGCATTTACATTTATTTTCTATTTAAAAAGGGTGTAACATAGCATGTATTTACATCAGCTTTCTATTAAAAAAATGGTGTAACATAACATATATTTACACCCATTTTTAAACGAGTGTAAATTCGTTAGACATTTCTCACTCGGTGAATATACATCTATTTTTTTATTAAATTTAAATGAGTGTAAATTTAATAAAAATGGATGTAAATTAACTTTTTTGTACTAGTGCAGAAAAGTTGTATAAGCCTTGAATTTTGCAATTGATAATTCCTTTTGTAACAGGATTTTCAAATGTGTTTGCAATTGTATTAACCATTTGATGAAGCTTTGCAATAGATCTATTGATGCCTCTCTTCAAAGACTATCTTGTGCTTGAAGTTCTCTCCAACAAATCTTTCAAGGAACTCTATAAAAGGAGTTGAAGATTTGAAAAAATAGACGACAATACGCATTGACAAGAATACGATAAGTTACTCTGTCAAAATAAAGAGCACAAACTAACTTAGAATTTCTTACCAATTCTACATTCTTAGAAGTTCTTAAGTCTTAGAGTCTTCTATGTTGTAATTTTGTGTACATCTCTGATTGTATATTATGATACGGCGGGAGAACTGACTCGGGTCGTTTTGCGTTTTGATCGCATTTGTGCGGATAGCAAGAGTCGCCACCGACTTTTTTTTTATCCAAAAAGGAAAGGTAAAAAAGCACAGGAAAGACCTTTGAGATTATTTCTCGGGTTCAGGGGATAGATAATGAAAAGGGAATGTATTAGTATCCTTTTCATCCGTAGTTATCTACGGGTTCTTAGTTACTCGCTAGATCACTTACTTTTGCTTTGACAATGTGCTTGTGGTGTGGGCTTTGAAAGTATTTTGAAAATATCTTTGTAATGGTTCTCGTTTCTATAAGAACGTGTACAAAGTTTTGTTTTGAAAAATAGTTCAAAGATGTGTTTGTGGAATGTGTTTTTGAAAATAGTTTTGAAAAGATGTTTTGCAATGGTTCTCATCTCTATAAGAACGTATACAAAATGTTTTATCTTTTTGAAAATGTTGAAAGTGTCGGTGTAAAAATGTTTTTGTCGTGAGCAAGCGAGCAACTAGGAGGGAATCTACCTACTCGAAAGGTCTTAAATGTTCTTTTCTTCCTCCTTTAGATGTTGCTATCTTACTATTGATTTGGTAAGAAGCCCCATCGTTGGATGTGAAGGGACAGGCGCGGATCAATCGTACAGTCATTGAAAGCAACTTATGAGACGTTTTAGCAATTTTTCTAAGGGACTAGATCGTTTTACCGGAGGCAACATCGAGGGTCATCGAGGGACTACGATCTTTCATCGAAGGGTCTTTGCTAAAGCGTCTCATATTCGAGGGACATGACTGTGTTTCCGAGGCAACAAGCGAGATTACCCTAGAGGTGTGCGTGTGAAATTGTGTGTTTGATTCAAGTTATTTTTTCTTTGAAATTAGGTTATCTAGCGGTTGATTTTGAATCTTGCCATGCACGCCTAATTACTATACAGTATAAGGAAAACAGTAAATTGCGGAAATGGAAATTCTACGCTATTACAGAGTTTTCGAGAATGGGGGTACAATTTTTACAAATGGGGACGAGTCGAATGCGATTAAAAGGTCCAAAATAGGCAAACAATACAACCAAATCGAATTTGAGCGATTAATTACAGTTATAACAGTCTAGGAAATAAAAATTTATTAACAAAGTACGAAACTAAAATTCTTGGCATTTTGTTTGTGAGAAAAATTTGAAAAGAAACTAAAGATCTATTCTATAATTAGCTAAAGAAATAAATCAAATGTAAACCTATTTTTGTCTTTTAGGGTTTTTGTTATTAAGAAATTAAAAAAAAAATTAAAGCTTAAGCAAAAAAATAATTAGTAAAATTATTTACAA